GGGGGGAAACAGCAGAAACTGGGGTTGGGACATAACACATGTTGAAGAAATATGATACATAATAAAACTGAAGAGAGTCTTGAACAACGACCTCTATCAGACTTGGGGGGAAACAGCAGAAACTGGGGTTGGGACATATGGAGGGGTGCTTGAAGAAAGGGATGGGGAGAGGAATGCTCAAATATTTTAATGGTTTTTGCTCATATTACATATATTTGGTGAAATTTGATATTTTTTTCCAAAAACAGAGGGTCTGAGGAGGTCGGCCCGGCGTCTAAGACTAGGTTTCAGACTCTAAGATTCTACCCGGGTACTTATGTTTTGCATTCAAATGTTTAAATAGCATGAATTCTCTCAGACTCTGATCAATAAATACAATATACCTCGCAAATAACTGCAAATACCAACACTTTGATGGAACTCATGAGACATATTTTCAAATCTACGTCATTTTTATGAAGATAAATTCACAAAGGTTTTACACCTTTATTTGAGTAACAACGAGAAATATATTGTCGTTTTTGTATCTTAAAAATTGAATAATTCTATTTATGTCTGTCCTTGACTATGCTGCAAAAACGTAAGTGAAAATTTTCGATTTTCTGAAAGAAGACCTGGATATTTCCATCATTTTTACCCAGACAATGGTTTAATAGTGTTCGGCATTGATCTGAAGAGTCCTTGAAAAGGATGTCGACAATTCCTTCTATAATCTGTATTTACTTTGCTTGGGTGTCTGTTTGTATCAAATAAACGTCAAAACGGCTAAACCGTTCGGGCCCAATTTTTTCGGGACATCGCGTGACCCAGGGAAGGTTTATGGATGATCGAATTTTCCAAAATTTGCTTCTAACAAACTCGATTTTTAAAAATTTAAAAAATTCACAAGTTTTTTTAATAAATACACGAAATTTTGTTTGGTTTTAGTTTTACTATGTGAACAAAGAGAACATTTGAAATGAAGAAGATGGGTGCGAAGTGCTCTAAAAAAACTAGTTAAAATAAAAATGTTAAAATAAAAGTTCATTTGTAGATTTATCTTGAACCGGATACAGATGAAAGCGAGGCTGACCGACAGGACAGTGAAGATGTAGAAAGCGGATTTGAGGTCAGCTACCTAGTCGTCGGCGAATATATCAATACAAAGAAACCGACTTTCCATTTCAATTTTGATTTCTATCAAGCTTTCAAACAGCATGGATACATATAAACATTGAAACAAAGAGAAGCTGTTAATTAATAGTTTCTTTTTATTCACTTTTAAACTTGTAATTTGAAAAAGCTTGTCTGAAATCAAAACTTTAATAGAAAAGTCACCTTTTATTCTTTTTCAAAACAACTTATCATTGAAAATACAGTAGGACTAAAAACTGTAAAATATGAAGACGACATTCAAGGAATCTCATGATTATCATTTGTTGTTATAGAACGATTATTTTTACTTTAGCAGCTATAAAATCAACTTATGAAGTAAAATGTGTTTGTTTATAATTATGGCAAATTGGATTTTTCAAAATCATAACTTGAGTTTTACAAACGTCTTCCTTGTTCCTATTCAATAGTTGTATAGGTCTCAAGAATTAAAATGTATTTTATGAAACTATTGTGTACTTTAACATTCTTCCACAATTCAGTTGAAATTTCATAATGAACGTGCAATCATCGTGCTATAAAGTTAAATTAGCTGTACATTATAGCACCTGTGCTATAAAGTTTTGATTAGTTCCCGGATTTTCTTCAAAAAATTAAGGATATTTACAAAATAATTTTTAAAATTTGAAATGAAAATAAAACTGAAACCACTTTACATTTTGACTTCTGCTTTGTTGCAAAGCTTATTTGATCTAGAAATAGCCATTGAAATGAGACAAGTACACAAACGTTTCATAAAATAGCCTATCACACTATTATTTTGGCACGACGTTTTTGGACTTAAATGTTCTCTATATATCCAAGGTTCTCGCCTTTTCAGATTATATTAAATTAGATTTAAAAAGGATTGTATCTTCTCGATAAAGAGAAAATTTCTGTGCAAAAACTTGAAACACTGCGAACCAAAATAACAGTGTTATGAATAGCTATTTCTTTTAATTCTGCCAAATAATTGTAAAAAAAAATTCTGAAAACGTATCCACCCCCCAAAGTAGGAGTTTTGAACGTCGAATTTGCGCTCAAAGTCAGGATTAACAGATCCTTAAAAAGTTTTATATGTCTCAAATGAATCCGAAAGAAGATTTCCGCAATACTGCATACTCAGTTCAACTACCTTAAATAGCCGGTCACTCCCTTTAAGAACTCATCTAAAGGCAGTGGATTAAGAATTTGTAAAATATAGGATAATGAACCAACCCAAGAAGGAGAAGAAGAAGAAGAAGGAGAAGAAGGGAGAAAGGAAGAGGAGGGAGAAGAGGAGGAGAATAAGGAGGATGAAGATGAAGAAGAAAAGGAAAAAGATGGAGATAGAGATGAAGACGAAGGAAAAAAAACACCAATACATTTAATATTTTTACTTTGCGTCCCTATTTTTGTAACAGTTTTAGGGTTTAATTGTTGCTTTTCAAGTCAACATTTTGTTATCGTACTCTGCAAAACATCTTTTATTTAAATTAGTGGATTTTTAAAAATTGTATTTCTGTAAGGCAACATTTTTCAAATTCCATAAACCTTCTCTTGCATTGCATCATATTAGAGTTGTCACACAAAAATTTTGGCTCGATTGGTTCAGCCGTTTTGACGTTAAGGGATACAAGAAGACATAAATATATTTATTTATTTCTGCATAGATGATTCAATGATGAAAGATTCAAAAGCACAAAAATTAGACTACAGATATAAACTCATTTTTTTCGTTTGGGGTTGTACTTTATTTCACATTAGTATTTTTAAGTGGACATTTTACATATAGACAATAGACATATATTATTATAGACAGAACCCCCCTTATTATCAGAGACGTCTTTTTAAAGTTTAATGCCTACAATAATGTGTTTTTTTAATGTACAGAAGAGAAAGAGGAAAAAGCGATGAAGGTGATTTACAATAATTCAGATTCTGAAAATGGTAAGTATGAATAAAAAAATACTGTTTAAATGAATATTGTGACAGTGATGATCAATCCGTATTTGATATCTCTGAATTAACGAATTAAATCTTAATTATGCTGATGATGATAATGATATTTGAATTACATCTCTGATATTTCTGAATAAATCAACTATGCTGATGATGATAATGATATTTTAAATTACATCTCTGATATTTCTGAATAGATCAATGAAGGAGATGATCTTTTTTATGATGATAATGCAATAGTTATATCTCTGACATATCTTAACAAATTATTGAAAGAATTATGATGAAACTAATAATCATGATAATGATGATGATAATGATGATGATAAATTAATGAATGAATAGATGACTACAATGATTATGATGATGATGATGATGATGATGATAATGAAAATGATGATGATGATAATGATATGATGATAATGATAATGATGATGATTAATTAATAAATGAATATATGACTACAATTATGATGAAACTAATAATCATGATAATGATGATGATGATCATGATGATAATGATGATGATAAATTAATGAATGAATAGATGACTACAATGATTATGATGATGATGATGATGATAATGATAATGATGATGATGATAATGAGATGATGATAATGATAATGATGATAATTAATTAATAAATGAATATATGACACAATTATGATGATGATGATGACGATAATGATGACGATGATGATGACGATGATAATTATGATGGCTCAAATAATGAATGAATAGATGACTACAATGATGATGTTGATGATGATGATGATGCTGATGATGATGATGATGCTGATGATAATGATGATGATTAATTAATGAATGAATAAATGACTACAATTATGATGATGATGATGATGATGATAATGATGACGATGATGATGATAATGATGATGATCAATTAATGAATAAAAAGATGACTACAATGATGATGATGATGATGATCATGATTATGATGATCATGATTATGATGATCATGATTATGATGATCATGATTATGATGATCATGATGCTGATGCTGATGCTGATGCTGACGATAAATTAATGAATGAATAGATGACTGCAATGGTGAAGTTGATGATGATGTTGATAATGATGATGATGCTGATGCTGTTGCTGATGATTAACTAATGACTGAATAGATGACTATGATGATGATGTTACTGAGCCGGAAAGTGTTACAAAAGCCTGGGAAGAACTGATGCTAATACAAAGAGAGCAACAAAGGTTGGTCAAGTGTAATTTATGTACAGTTTATTTACAGTAGTGGGCGATTATATAAATCAACTGAAGACGACTTTTTAAATTAAGTTTTGATTTTTACAAGCTTTTTTGATTTACAAGTTTACAATTAATCAAAGGGAAGTTTGTTTAATCCAACCCTTCTCTTTGTTTCCATTTAAAGGTTTAAAGATCGGTCGTCTGGAATCAGATGTTACTCTGCAAATAGAATAGAACTTGAAATAACGTCTACAGTTCCTTCCTTTATCAAAGCTGCGGTTTTAGTTTTCTTTTTGTTTAAAAAGAAAATTACATCGAAGACCAAGGTAGTAAAAGTTTAATTGCGTACAGCAATTTTTCAATCCATTTAAGAATCGCAAAAGTTTGTAAACAATTCGTTCGATAAAAAAACATAGTTAAAGGTTGAAAACATTTACAAAATATAAATATAACATTTTAGTCTTTCTGAAATCTTAACTGAAAGCTAATTGGATTTTATGTTCAAGTAAATTTAAATGATGTTGAAAATGAAAGTTACTATTTCCATCATCAAGAACTTCAATCCTGAATTGTGTTTTGCTAACCTACGTAAAATTATTTTTACAAAGCAAAATAATATTTTAATATGTTTTCATATTAATATATAGTATATTATTAATTGTTTGTCAGGTATATTATTAATTGTTTGTCAGGTATATAATTAATTGTTTGTCAGGTATATTATTGATTGTTTGTCAGTTATGATATATTTTGTTTGTCATGTATAATATTATTTGTTTGCCAGGTATATTATTATTTGTTTGTCAGGTATATTATTATTTGTTTGTCAGGTATATTATTGATTGTTTGTCAGTTATGATATTATTTGTTTGTCAAGTATAATATTATTTGTTTGTCAAGTATAATATTATTTGTTTGCCAGGTATATTATTATTTGTTTGTCAGGTATATTATTACTTGTTTGTCAGGTATATTATTGATTGTTTGTCAGGTATATTATTATTTGTTTGTCAGGTATATTATTGATTGTTTGTCATTTATGATATTATTTGTTTGTCATGTACAGGGTGTCCCAAAAAACATGGGAATTCAGTGACGAATTCGATATCGTCTTTGTTATGAATTAGCATTGTAATACCTAATTTCAAAAGCCGTAATATTATTATGTCTGGTAGAGTTTATTTAATGAAAAGGGTAAAAGACTGAAAAGATGTGTCTATAATGTCTCCGCAAGATGAACAGTGAATATGGACAAGTTTACTCTNGCAGATACAAGCATATTATGTTTAGGAACTATCTTCAGAATATTATGTTTAGGAACTACCTTCAAGAATATTATGTTTTGGAACTACCATTAAGAATATTATATTTACGAACCTCTATCCGGTATATTATGTTAGAAACTATCTTCAAGAATATTATGTTTAGGAACTATCTTCAAGAATATTATGTTTAGGAACTATCTTCAGAATATTATGTTTAGGAACTATCTTCAAGAATATTATATTTAGGAACTTGTATCCAGTATAATATGTTTAGAACATATTTTTAAGAATATTATGTTTAGGAACTACCTTCAAGAATATCATATTTAAGAACCTTCATCCAGAATATTATGTTTAGGAACTATTTTTAAGAATATCATGTTTAGGAACTATTTTTAAGAATATTATGTTTAGGAACTACCTTCAAGAATATCATATTTAGGAACTTCCATCCAGAATATTATGTTTAGGAACTATTTTTAAGAATATCATGTTTAGGAACTATTTTTAAGAATATTATGTTTAGGAACTATTTTCAAGAATATCATATTTAGGAACTTCCATCCAGAATATTATGTTTAGGAACTATTTTTAAGAATATTATGTTTAGGAACTACCTTCAAGAATATTATGTTTAGGAACTACCTTCAACTTTTCAAGAATATTATGTTTAGGAACTATTTTTAAGAATATTATGCTTAGGAACTACCTTCAAGAATATTATGTTTAGGAACTATCTTCAAGAATATTATATGTTTAGGAACTACCTTCAAGAATATCTACAACAGAGGAGAAAGAAATCCTCTCTTTGCTTTGTAAAGTACATGAGCTGGAGATAGACAAGGTAAAGTACGCTCGTATAAATCAATACAATGAAGACTACTTTCGATTTAATTTTTAGATTTCTACCAAGTTTTCAAGCAGCATATAACATGAAAAAATAGAAATCGTCAATTAACAGCTTATCCTGGTTTGCCTGTAAAATTGTATCTTGATAAAAGCTCGTTAGAAATCAAAACCTAATTAGGAAAGTCGTCTTCATTGTAATGATATAAACGCCGACCACTTGACAAATAAAACTATCCAGGCTATCATGTATCGGATAACGTCAATCAACGTAACATTCTTGTAACGCTGCTTTCGTTGTTAGAGCTCCACGTATTTTATAAATAAGTAGAGAACTCTTATTTATTTTTACTTACAAATTTTAGAGACAGTAAGATAAAAAATAAATAGATAAACAAGTAATTAAAGACAGTAAGATAAAAATAAATAGATAAGCAAGTAAAGAACTTTTTTTCTTGCAAATTTTAAAGACAGTTAGATAAAAAAATCTTTTTTTTTATTAGAAATAGTTGTTGACTATTATTTTACTTTTTATCCGGAAATATTATAAACGTTTTTTTATTTGCACTGTTTTATTTATAATAATGCATAATATGTCCTGTTCATTTCAAGGAATAACTTGATATTTAAATTTTTAAATCACATATCAGGATTGAGATAATAATTCTTTACTGTTTTCTGGCTACCACTATTTTTAAAAAGATCAAACTAACGAAGATAATGAATACTAAATACTCAAAGATGAAAGTCCAACCGAATGTTAAATTTGCTTCAACAAAAAACTAAATGTTAAAACTCTAGTTCCATCTAGTGTTAATATAAAAAATAAATTTGTCCAGGTTGAGATGAAAAGTGAAGGACTGATGAAAGAGCATGAGGTAATTAAATACATTTTCTACAAATATACATATTTAAAATTACATTTTTGTTAAAAATCCATTCTAAGAATTCTCCTTTCACAATTTTTGTTATCTGAACCTTTTGTTCCCCTTTAAAAAGAGTCATAAACTATAATTTTTATGAAACCCGACTAGATTTTCTCCAAAAAAAATTGGAATATATTTTTTTCTCTTAAATTGGAATAAAGATAAAATTGAAATTAAAATGATATTTTTAATCTTGCTTTGTTTAGAAACAATTATTCTTTCAAGAAAAAAACCTTTGCAATTATTTCATAAAATTTCCTATAACATTTTTATTTTGTAACGTCGCGGTATAAAGTTTTTGGACTTAAAATGTTTCTCTGTCTCGAATGTTCTCGCCTTTAAGATTATATTTTGTAATATAATTTAAAAAGGCTTGATAAAGATAAAATTTGAGTCCAAAAACTAGATTTGAATGATTTAGGTTCGTAGACGGGATTTATTAATCCTGAAATATGATAAACAAAGATCTCTTTGTGATGAGATTATACAACGGCAGCAGAAACTTATCGAAGGTAAGTTTTAAAATTCAATTATGTATTATCTATTGTTCAATTGTTTTGAAAACAGAAAAAAATGGTTTAAAAATTAAATAAAAAGCGGAAAAAATGCGATTACAATTAAAAATTGTTTTTGAATGAAGATGATGAGTCTTGTTCTCATAAAAAAAACCCGGAATACGTCAATTCCTACAATGAAAATCCGCCTAATAGAATATTAAACCGGTTTTTTGAACTCAACTCTGTAAAAAAAAAGATGCAGCTTGAATCCGAAAGCTCAAGCCGTAGATAAGGCCCAACGACAGCTTAGACCCAAACCGTATTTTCCCGAATTGTTTTAATCACGAGCTCTGTACTCGGAACTTTAGAACTGCTTAATTCGAAAATCCAACGTGGACACTTTTAATTTCTTGCTTATTCCACTCTTTTTTGGATATATTAATCTAAATTAAATGAGAGAACTCTCATTTAATGGCGTGCAAAATTTCGAATTTCACGGCTTCTGATACGCCACTCTGATTGGCTTAAGTTTATACACTTTTTAGGATATAAACACAAGATTAGGTTAGTCCCGAGATTAAGAAAAAGCGAGGATCAAGCATTGATCTCGATATCCACCATTCTAAAGTTCCCAGCTCTGAAGAATCAATTAATATATATTAAAAGATCATTTTCTGCTTTAAGCGTTATTTTTAACACAAAATGAAGAAACTTTATCAAAGTTAAAATAAGAAATATAATATTCCAAATATTTTCAAGATAAATCAAAATTTTTAAAGTTTTAAATATAAAAATATTTAGAAATTTTAAATAACTCTTCCATAGCTTTGAATCTTACATGAAAACTAAGCTAATTCTTTTCTAATTTTGTTGAAATTTTTTTAGCTATGGATTCCTCTAAGTTAAATAAATCCATGGGTATGTCAGTTTTTCAGTGTTTGCGTGGAACATAAAATTTTTTAAGAGTGAAACTGTTTTTAATTTTTTAAAAAGTTTTTTTTAACATTACTTATTTTTGGACATTAAAGGGTGTGTTTACAAATATTGAAAGAAGGTTTGGGAATAATTTTGATAATTTTTACATCAACTAATCCATCAATCTAGAAAACAGGATTATGGTTCAGAAATCATAATTTGTATTTCAATTTTAAAAATTTTCCGAACTTCTACTTTCAACATCTTGAAACAATTCCATTGCATGTAACTTTTTAATTCTTACTTTTTATGAATCTTTCTCAATTTGTTTTATTTTGCACTTTTGTGATTTTTTTTTAATCTTTAAACTGTAAAAGTATTTCACATACTTTTTCCTAATTCTTATTTTCTAAGTACAAACTATTTTTTTCTAATTTCCTGGATTTATTTTATTTGTTTTTTTTTCCCAGAATGTTTTCACTCAGTTTATGTTAACATACTTTTCTTTCTTAAGGTGAAAAGAGACTGTAGACTTATTTACAAGCAACCAGCTCCATTTATAGAATGGTCAAGCTTGATTCCCATCAGTAACCTTCTGCCCTCCATATTGTGCTATTTTTCTCTAATATAGATATATATTAGAGGATTTCTTTTAAACCCCCCCCCCCCATTGATGTTGCGCTAATAGTTGGTTTTTTGATTTTTAAAAAGCAGACGTACGTCCTTTTTCCACACTACGCTGTGCTTGAAAAAATATTAGCAAACATTTTTTTGCAACTATGAATTTGAAAAAAAACGTTTGAGTGTAAGCCGTTCCTAAATTATGAAGAAAACACACAGGAGGAAACCCCCCTCACCTCCCCCTTTCCTATTGTGATAGGGTTAAACTATTGTCTGCTCGCAGACAATTAGAGACTTTTTAAAGATTGAAAAGTGACGATATCGTCTATGTACATCATAAAGAGGTTGAAAGGGTATCTTTTTCAATCGAACAAGTAACTCTTTCAAGAAAAATTGTTTACCTACACCCCACCCCATTCTACTCCCACACATTCATTTTGTTATTTTATTTCCTTTCAAGAAACTATAAATGTCCCATTCTCTTGATTTCTATTTCCCAAGAGAATTGAAAAAACGTTGTTATGTTTTATATTTCATGTTTTTATTCTCTTATACTTCTCACTGTTTGTATTTTATATATTTAGAGTGGTTTGAAACTATTCCAGAATCAAGCATTTTCCTTTTTTTCATCTCAGATTTATTTGTTTTCTTTTAATGCATTTGTCCAGGCCCTGTATTCCAAGTGCCCAGGCTCCTATACTATTTTATTTTAGGGGTTCAACCAGGCCCCAATGTTTCCTATACTATTGTATTCAAAGTTCTCAAACCCCTCTCTATACCATTTTATTCTAGGTTCCCAGGCCCCTATGCCTCCTATTCCATTTTATTCTAGGTTCCCAGGCCCCTATACCTCCTATATTATTGTATTTATAGGTGCCAAGGCCCCTATGCCTCCTTTACCATTTTATTCTTGGTTCCCAGGCTCCTATACCTCCTATATTTTTGTATTCTAGGTGCCCTGGCCCCTATGCCTCCTATATTATTGTATTCTAGGTGCCCAGGCCCCATGCCTCCTATACTATTGAAATCTATGTGCCCAGGCCCCTATACCTCATATACTATTGTATTCTAGGCTTCCAGGCCCCTATACCTCCTATACTATTGAATTCTAGGTGCTCAGGCCCCAATACCTCCTATACTATTGTATTCTTGGTGCCCAGGCCCCTATGCCTCCTATACTACTGTATTCTAGGTGCCCAGGCCCCTATACCTCCTATTCTATTGTATTCTAGGTGCCCAGGCCCCTATGCCCTCTATACTATTGTATTCTAGGTGCCAAGGCCCCTATGCCTCCTATACCATTTTATTCTTGGTTCCCAGGCTCCTATACCTCCTATATTTTTGTATTCTAGGTGCCCTGGCCCCTATGCCTCCTATATTATTGTATTCTAAAGGTAGACAGGTAGAAAGGTAGACAGGTAGACAGGAAGACAGGTAGACATGTAAACAGATATGACAGGTATGACAGGTAGACAGGTAGACAGGTAGACAGGTAAACAGATAGAAAGGTAGACAGGTAGAAAGTTATACAGGTAGAAAGGTAGACAGGTAGACAGGTAGACAGGTAGACAGGTAGACAGGTAGAAAGGTAGACAGGTAGAAAGGTAGACAGGTAGAAAGGTAGACAGGTTCCTATACGTACATAAAAAGAGTAAATAAGACAGAAAGTAATTTAGATTGAAAGGATTGAAAAAAGTTGTTTCATATTTTCAAATAAAAAAATTATATGAAATTAAACAGAAAAGCAAAACTTTAAAAATTAAAAAAGAATTTTACAAAGATTAGAAAGTTGTTGGATTGGGTTTATTTTAAAGATTTTTCAAACTGTACAAATTCATTTACGCATTTTCTTACTAATTATGGTTTTTGTAGAACTAATATAATCAGAAATGATGGAGTATTGGGTTTAATTATACATTTAGTTAATTCATAAATAATGAACTGGTATGTTTTGGATTGTTGTCCTGTGTATCCTACTAAATGTGCTTTATAATAAAACAAGACATTCGTATATGTGATCCCTATAACCGGCGAAACGGCTGGACCGAATGGGCTGACATTTATTTAATAATGGTCAAACAAATTAATGAAAGATTGATTATTTAGTCTCCGTCAATGCTGTCTCTACGAGGTCCGGAGTTCGATGAGAAACCTCGGGATGGTAAACTGCCTCCGATAAAACAGGTAAACTGGCTCCGATAATACAGGTAAACTGCCTCCAATAAGACAGTTAAACTGCCTCAAATAAGACAGGTAAACTGCCTCCAATAAAACAGGTAAACTGCCTCCGATAAGACAGGTAAACTGCCTCCAATAAGACAGGTAAACTGCTTCCGATAAGACAGGTAAACTGCCTCCGATAAGACAGGTAAACTGCCTCCGATAAGACAGATAAACTGCCTCCGACTAAATAAGATAAAACGACTCAAAAAAAAATAGGTAAACACCCTCCAATAAGACTGGTAAACGGCCTTCAGAAAGACATGTTAACGGCAAGGAATATACCTCCAACACATATGAAAAACTATCTCCGTCACAAATGAAAGACTGCCTCCGACACAAAAGGTGAAATGCCACTAATACAACAGGCAAGCGAAAAACGGCCTCCAAAACAAATGCATGAAAGTAGAAAAAGGATGAAGAAATGAAGAAATGATTAAATGGATGAATGTATAAATGAATAAAAAAAGAAATGAATAGATGAATAAAAAAATAAATAGATGAATAAATCAATAAATATATATGGAACATATGAATGTATGAAAAAAAAATGAATAAATGAATAAAAGGGTGAATAAATGAATAAATAAATGAATAAATGAATAAATGATAGGATGAATAAATGAATGAATAAATGAATAAATGAATAAATAAATGAATAAATGAATAAATAAATGAAAGGATGGATAAATAAATGAATAAATGAATGAATAAATAAATAAATGAATAAATAGATAAAGGATGGATGATTCAATGAATGATTGTATAGGAAGACGACAGATTATTTTCTATGGCTGAATCCAACTATGATGATTATGATACAAGAACAGAATCCAGGCTAAGCCTCTCAAGTGCAGACAGGTACAACATTTACTGATGGGTATCCTTGGAAATATTTAAAAATTTTAGTTTTTTTAAAGAATCTCAGATGTAAATCCTTTTCCAAAATTGCATGCTAGACAAGCTTGCTTTTTTATATTATACAACATTTTTACTCTGACCGAAGACATTAACCAAAACAATTTTTCAAACTAATTATTAGTAAACGCGTTTTTCGTGTTTCTTTTTTTAATATTTCTTTTTTAATATATCAGAGAAAAATATAATCATAATGAAATAAAAGAAAACTTATCGAAAATACAATTCTGCAATGTTAAAAATATCTCAGATTTTGTATGAGAACTTTAAGCGTAAAAACCCCCAAAATGTTTGAAAACGGACCTCAATATGATGCACATCATTAGGTCTGTACTATCAATATGATGCACATCATTAGGTCTGTACTATCAATGAATAGCATATTTAAACCAATTAAACCAAAAATATATTTTGATCAACTCCTGCTTTTTTATATTATTATAGCAATTATCATTCTAACAATTATGAAAACATGAAGAATTCAAATAATTTTCTTCTATTTTCTGTAGTATGAAAAGCTCCAGATTACCCAATATTGAGAGTGATAGAGATGACTCAGCAAGGTATAGAGAAATATTGAATATCGATATTTGTCGCTTTTCCATTCAAAATTGACATATTGACTTTGTTCAACGCCTGGGTTCAAAATGTAAGAAGACCAATGAGGTGTCAAGCATATTTCTAAATTTGTTTCATGGGGTGAACAAAACAAAAAATTAAGAATTGATCATTTTAATAGTTCCAGAAATTTTAAGTAGATATCTAAATTTTCGTCGCATGTTTATGTTTTTAGAATATATCTGAAATATTTTGTTGACATTATGGAAAGTGTAATGTAATTTTTTTATATTTTCAAATCTGAATGTAATTTTATGGTCGAAAAACCTGGAGAGATTTCCTATCAGACCAGAAAATTTTCATCTTCACAAATTTAAACCTTTGCACTGCTCAGTGTTTAGTTGGATCAAATATAATTAATTCAAAACAAGAGATAAATCAAGGCAATAAGGCAAGGAAAGTTAATTGCAGTTGCGTATTCTCTGCCTATTAAAACCAGTTCTCTCTGGGCGGTATCAGTGTGTCTCTAGTATCCTAGGAGGATAAAAGCATTTAATTTTAATAATTTTAATAATTTACATAATAGTTTCCTATGACCAGCATATTTCATTGATTTCTTATGTGAAAGATGGATCTCAGATCCCATGTACTTTATAGCCCAGAGACAGTACACTGCAGTACTTAAATGCGTACACCTCCGAAATAACTTTCTTTACATTAAAATTCTTTGAGATAAATCATGTATAGCTAAGAAATTGTTTTTTTAATATATATTGAATCACCATAAGTAAAATTTATGTAATAGAAAAATGTAAGCTTAATTTGAAGTAACTTTTTCTGTAAAGAGGGGAATGCAAGATTTCAACCCTTTGAATGATCATTTACGACAGAGATATCCATGTTTTTATCTCTTAAATATTGTTTGAAATGTCTTTAAACATATAGATCTCTATAACACTAAACCCTGCACAGTGCAAAAATATTGTTGTAAATAACTGTTATGTTCCGCCATTAACATCTATATATATATATATATATATGAGTAGATAATATGCACGTAAATTAGACACGTAGCTAGGTTTTTAAATCTCTAGGCCAGCCTCTTCACCCAGAGCACATAAGAGGAAGAAATCTCATATACCAACAGCTTCAGCTGCATCTACCCCTAGGTCAACCAAAGTTATAAAATCCTCAAAAAGTTACAAAATTATCTAAAATGGTAGCTGATATCTTACTCAAAATATGCTGAACAGTCTCTTAAAAAATTTAAATTTCCAATTATTGCTTTACAAACAATGAGATTCATAAATAGTGGAATAGGAAGACGACATTTAATGCGTATTTGTGTTGTAATAATTCAATTCAAATTAGCCAGGAGCTTAAAAACCAACTGATTGAATGAAATCTAATCGTTTTATTTTCGTGGGTCCATCCTTAGTCAAAATACAAGTCAAATAGTCGTTTTCTTGTTTCACAGTTTTATAGGGGCCACCGTTTTTATCTTGTTTTGGTTGCAGATCTGGAGAAAGGAAACTGTCTCGATCTCAATCCGTTCATTTCCCACCAATATCCTCCCGTTAAATATATCCGTTCATTTCCCACCAATATCCTCCCGTTAAATATATCCGTTCATTTCCCACCAATATCCTCCCGTTAGATATATCCGTTCATTTCCCACCAATATCCTCCCGTTAAATATATCCGTTCATTTCCCACCAATATCCTCCCGTTAGATATATCCGTTCATTTCCCACCAATATCCTCCCGCTAAAGATATCCATTCATTTTCCTACAATATCCTCCCGCTAAATATATCCGTTCATTCCCACCAATATCCTCCCGCTAAAGATATCCATTCATTTTCCTACAATATCCTCCCGCTAAATATATCTGTTCATTTCCTGCACCAATATCCTCCCGCTAAATATATCTGTTTATTTCCCACCAATTTCCTACCGCTAAACATATCCGTTCATATTTCCCACCAATATTCTCCCGCTAAACATATTTGTTCATTTCCTGCACCAATATCCTCCCGCTAAATATATCTGTTCATTTCCCACCAATTTCCTCCCGCTAAACATATCCGTTCATGTTTCCCACCAATATCCTCCCGCTAAAAATATCCGTTAATTTCCCACCAATATCCTCCCGCTAAACATATCCGTTCATTTCCCACCAATATCCTCCCGCTTAATATATCTGTTCATTTCTCACCAATATCCTCCCACTAAACATATCCCATTATTCCTTAAAAATATTTCCCGCTAATTATTTCTTACCAAAATCCTCCCGCTAAACATATCCGATCATTCCTTTCCAAAATCATCCCGCTTAAAATTATCTTATTTTTCAATAGTATTTTGCTGTTTCCTTCCATCTTTTATTTTTATCGTTCTTTCTTTATCCTACATTTCCGTTTTCTTCTCCCCCTCCCCCGCACAGCTGTACTTCAAGAAAACTGGACTCCATAAATATCAGTACAAGAAATCTGTACTTCAAGAATATTAGTACAAGAAATCTGTACTTCAAGAATATTAGTACAAGAAAACTGTACTTCAAGAATATTAGTACAAGAAAACTGTACTTCAAGAATACCAATACAAGAAAACTGTACTTCAAAAATACTAGTACAAGACAACTGTGCTTCAAGAATACCAGAACAATAAAACCGTACTTCAATAATACCAGTACAAGAAAACTGTACTTCAAGAATACCAGTGCAAAAAACTGTACTTCAAGAATACCACAACAAGAAAAATGTACTTCAAGAATACCAGTACAAGAAAACTGTGCTTCAAGAATACCAGTACAAGAAAACTGTACTTCAAGAATACCAGTACAAGAAAACTGCACTTCAAGAAAACTATCACAAGAAAACTGTGCTTCAAGAAAACCAGTATAAGAAAACCGTATTTCAAATACCCGTACTACTATTCATCTCTTCAGTACATAAAAATAGAAGAAACATGTACAATGTACATTACCTTGAAGCAGAAATGCAAAGTTACGATACAAAGTTTAATTACAAGTGAGTTGAGACGATAAGAATTTTAAATATTTGTTTTCAGTTTAAAGTTTGAAGTTTGCAGTGTGCACCTTGTCATTTTGTAAAACTTCTAAACTTTTAATGAACCCTAGAGTTGAGAACTTATAGTTTAGATCTAAACTGAAGTATTTCCATGCTTAATAGAAGAGAAAAGAAACTTTCTGGGTAGTCCCAGTTTTTTTTATTATTGTGTACATCGTTTATCACCAAGTTATACATTTATATTTTTTTAACATTTTTGTTGAAAACCCCTTTCACTATAATTGTAAAAAATATTACATTTCGTGGACATGTGTACAGTCTGGCGTCTGCATGTTTTTAAACTTTTGGTATCTAACAGTTTTTTCAAATCTTTGGTAATTTAAAATAAAACTTTCTCTTTAACTTAAAAGCTATGCTGTGCACAAAACCTTCAGCGCATTGTTTTGTTATTGTCCTCTCACTGTTATAATTAATTAATACATTTGTTTACGTGTTCATGCATGATTTTCTGTTGATTTGTTTTACTTTTAAACCAAACTATTAGTTTCCTATTAGGGTCTTTAGCTATAGTTTAATATATTTAATATTTAAGCTGAAGTATTTCATATTATTTTAGTTCGGTAAATACTCAAGATTCTGTAGTCTCCTCTTTACCACCTATAAACTCTCATAAAAGGTAAAATATATTATATTTCCTTAAGTGCAATGGTAGGCCTATTTTTATATATAAATTAGTTATGTTAGTTTGTCGGGTTTTTTTCCGATCATAACTCATGAACCCCTTGACCCATTTTTTCTCAACATTTTATTGTGGAACTCGGTAAAAAACCATGAAATGTGCTTAACTTGGTTTAAAAATAGTTCAGATATCCAGACATAGCTGGGTTCCCGAAATATATTAACATATATATTCACAAACAATGCACTGATAATTTAGTTGACTTTCACAGAGAAAACTTCCAGGCAAAGCTGGGTTTCCATGAGGATGAGCTAGTTTGGATAACAAGCAGACTCAATTCTAGTGCATCTTTGTTTTATATTGATTCAGCTTATACTGATTCTTATATTTCAGAACAGAAAGGTTTGGAATTAAAAGTGAATAAGTTCTTTGTTAACGGGCGGACTGGAAGCGTAATTGAAAACATATAGGAATTATCAGAATTCAACACTTTTAAATCAAGAAAAACTACAATATCTCCCACATTATTGATCAGATAAAGATTCACGGGAGTACAATTGCCATCTTTGCATGAAGGGTCAGATGGAATTACATTTACAGTTCCTATAAACAAATGTTTTTATTACATTACTTTTGATAGCTTTACATGTATTGAATTGAAACATAAAATAGGCAGTTTATTTTGGTTTATTATATGGAGTATTTGAACCCTGAATATAAAGATTGATATTGGATATGAAGTATGAGGTATATACATCAATCTATATTGAAGTTCATACTTCATATTCTGTCTAGCTAACTGGGTATAGAACATTAGGGTTAGGTAAATCATCCATTATACTAATAATTAATTAACTAGAATTTATTTTTGCTTCAGTGCATTATATTTCAGAAAAAAATTAAAATCTTTTTTCCTTTTTATTTTACAGCTCACCTTTGTTTACTTGTAAGCCATATTGGAAGCAAAAATGTCCTCTGCTATTTATAAAAAGGTCGCCATTTAAAGTCTTGTTCAGTGTGGGTAACCCTGTATATAACTTAATAAATATATTGTCTATTTTCTAGGCTTACGAGGCCTTTAATAATAATCTTAGATTTTTAAAGCTAATTCTTTTTGCAAGATATTTTGTCCATTTTGATAAAATAACAACTATCTGGAGTGCCCATGGAATAAATATTTTTTTAAAATTCCCCGAATTTCGAATTATTTTATCTTACCCTCAGGGTATCCATGGGTTCCCTCAAAAAATTTCAGCCACATTTGTTCAGCCGTTTGGCAAGCTTTAGCTAACATCTATATATAAATTTGGCTTGTCTGTCTGTCTGTCTGTTTGTCTGTTTGTTTGTTTGTATCCAATAAACGTCAAAACGGCTGAACCGATCGGGCCCAAATTTTTTGTGGGACATCTAGGGACCCCAGGGAAGGTTTATGAAAATCAAAATTTCAAATATTTGTCTCCATCAAAATTCGATCGTCAATATATATATTTTTAATACTGACAAGCACAAACCTTCCCTGGAGTACTAAACTTGGTACGGTTCTAAAACTCAAAAGAAACCTATACAAAACTTTTTATAATTTTCCTGCACATTTCAAATAATTTAATTTAAAATTAACCTCGAATACTTTCATCAAAAACTTCTATTTTTAACTTTTTTCATGAATAATAAAAAGAATTATATGAGATTAAAATCTTTAAAGTTGGAACACATCAGTCGTTTTACTTTCATCTCAAGTTTTAATGCAGATATAAGAAATCTGGTGTACTTTATAAAATAAAAATAAGATACCTGGTGAACTTTATAAAATATAAATAAGATACCTGGTGTACTTTATAAAGTATAAATAAGATACCTGGTGTACTTTATAAAATATAAATAAGATACCTGGTGTACTTTATAAAGTATAAATAAGATACCTGGTGTACTTTGTAAAATATAAATAAGATACCTGGTGTACTTTATAAAATATAAAGTCGATACCTGGTGTACTTTATAAAGCATAAATAAGATACCTGGTGTACTTTATAAAATATAAATAAGATACCTGGTGTACTTTATAAAGCATAATTAAGATACCTGGTGTACTTTATAAAATAAAAATAAGAAACCTGGTGTACTTTATAAAGTATAAATAAGATACCTGGTGTACTTTGTAAAATATAAATAAGATACCTGGTGTACTTTATAAAATAAAAATAAGATACCTGGTGGACTTAATAAAATAAAAATAAGATATCTGGTGGACTTGATAAAACATGAATAAGATACCTCATGGACTTTATAAATAAAAATAAGATAACTGGTGTACTTTGTAAAACATAAATAAGATACCTGGTGGGCTTTATAAAATAAAAATAAGATATCTGGTGGACTTTATAAAACATAAATAAGATACCTTGGACTTTATAAAATAAAAATAAGATAACTGGTGTACTTTATAAAACATAAATAAGATACCTGGTGGGCTTTATAAAATAAAAATAAGATATCTGGTGGACTTTATAAAACTTAAATAAGATACCTTGGACTTTATAAAATAAAAATAAGATAAATGGTGGACTTTATAAAACATAAATAAGATACCTGGTGTACTCTATAAGATAAAAAATAAGATACCTGGTGGACTTTATAAAACATAAATAAGATACCAGGTGTACTTCTAAAATAAAGTTAAGATACCTGGTGGACTTTATAAAACACAAATAATATACCTGGTGGACTTAATAAAATAAAAATAAGATACCTGGTGCACTTTATAAAGTATAAATAAGATACCTGGTGGACTTTATAAAATATAAAGTCGATACCTGGTGGACTTTATAAAGTATAAATAAGATACCTGATGGACTTTATAAAATATAAATATTCGACCGATTGACACCAAGTTAAAGCGACTGTAGGCACACTTTGAAAAAAAAAATTGATAAAATTTAACACAAAAAGAATAACGACGGCATTTTCCTTATTATTGAACAGAAAAAGGTTTAAAGGGAGTGACGGCTATGTCAGGTAGTTGAACTGAGTATACAGTGTTATGGAAAGCTTCTTTCGGATTCATTTGAGACATATTAAACTTTTTAAAGATCTGTAAATCCTGAGTTTGAGCGCAAATTCGATTTCAAAACTCCTACTTTGGGGGTGGATACGCTTTCAGAATTAGTTATTTTTAAATTATTAAATAACGACGACATAAAATGTAAAAAAGTTCCACAATAAACTACAGACGTCATGTATAAGAACATGTTGAGAAAATAAAAATTAATCATATCATCGAAAATAAGTAATATTGTTCAATTATTAGTTTCTATTATCTCATTATTCTGGTTTCTCATTATTCACAAAGATTTTGCAGATTTTCTTGAATTACTTTTGAAAATACGACATTTTAAGAATTTGAAGAAATCCGCGAATGAAATCAAAGATAATTAGAAATTCAATATAATAATGAAAACAGAATAATCGATTTCAGCATTGAGTTATTGACCAATTTCTATTGAGAAATATGTTCCTAACCATCCAATTAGATTACTGTATAATTTTTACTTTATTTTTTGTTGTCGTTATTTAATTAAAACAAAAAAAAATAATTTTGAAAACGTATCCACCCTCAAAGCAGGAGTTTTGAACGTCAAAGGAATTGAGTTTTTACCACAAACTCAAATCTTCTGATCCTAATAATTTTACAACCTGATGGTGCAACCCTGTGATATTTCAAACTTAGATTATTTTATCTATAAGTATTAATAGTTTGAAATATCTAAGGTCTACGACATTGGGTTACAAAGATATAGAGATTAGAAAATCAGAGTTTGTCGCAAAAACTCAACTCCTTTGCGCTCAAACTCAGGATTTACAGATCTTTAAAAAGTTTATTGTCTCAAATGAATCCGAAAGAAGTTTTCCACAACACTGCATACTCAGTTCAACTACCATACACAGCCAGTCACTCCCGCTAAAGGTTAACGTTGGGAATCGGAGATCTCAATCTTTTTAAATGGAAAATAATATGGAATTACGTCTACTGCAGGCCCTCTCTTATTTAATAGTTTTATCGTATCATTGAGATAAGCTAAGTTTTAAATTGTTTAGGGAAAAAGTATATATACTAAATTCTTAGCACATTTTTATGTTTCTTGTTTTATTACGTGTTAAAATTGTTTTATTATCCATTTACAAATAAATTTCTTCCTCGTTTACAAGAATCCTAAAACAATTAAGATTATATCTTTTACATTAGATACGTTTTAATTCTTTTAACCCGCTTTATATATAATGTTCCGTCTATTGATTATCTTCTACAATATTTAGTACTTGGGGCATGGACATGCTCCCACTTTAGTTAATGATATGTTTACTTGACTTTGTTAACATAATGTTTGTTTGATTTAAACTTTTTGTTTTGAGGGGAGGAACCCCTCCTCCTCTCAAAACAAAAAATAGCAAAGCTCTTAGTCTTGCAACTTTTTTAAAAGGTCCTTTTTCGATTTTCATATATTTTGCGACAATAAGCAGTGTATGAATTAATTTAATTGGTTTAAACACATAAGATATATAATACATACTGATGTATACTGTATTATATTATTTATAAAATTCCGAAATGAGTAAACTAATAATTTCGATGAAAACTGTTTTCTGTTTAGTCGACAGTTGTTTAAAACTCGAAGTTTAAGTACCGCTGATGGAGTACATGGAGAACACAAGCTTAGAACACGAATTTCAAGGTATATCTCGTTATACAGTACAGACTACAGTACAGTACAGTGCAGTACAGTACAGGACATAACTATATATTTCTTGATTTTAAATTGTTTAGGGAAGAGCCGAAATCTAATTCTTCTCCGCCCGGATCAAGGATTAGCCGAACCTCATCAACGATCCCGAGAAAATCCTCTGTATACTCCCGCAATCCCTCCGATCCAGTTAGAAAACGCCGAAAGCCTTCACAGAAAAATATTGATCCTTTCGAGAATATTGGTATTCGCATGGAACGATAAGTATTTAGAAAGATGTGCCTGTCGATATATTCGTGAACAGTATTTTTTTTCTAATTAATTAAAACATAAACTTAGTTAAAAACGATTCATTATCCAGGCAAGAACGACAGAGGCAAAATTCTTACTGTACAATTTAATCTGTCATAATTGATATTAGTTTGGTAGTTATTCAAACTAAGCTGTGTTTGCAGTAAAAATAAGATTGGCTTTATTCAAATGATATCATTCCTGCAATTTATTAGCAACCATTGCTTACTTATATGTGAAGTCCTTGAAAATAATTTCTTTTATTATTCATTTTTTCGGAATCGCTACACATTTAAAATTGCGTGCAATACTGGAAATTATGTAAATTTTTAGATATCTTATTTTTAACAAACATATATCTAATTATATCTTTATTCTACACTTTGCATTAAAAATTTGAAATTTGTATATTTATGTATATTATATACTATGTTTTGACAAAACCTTGCTCATCATTTTTTATATACTTAATATGCAATTTTAAGAATATTATTTATTAACAATTAAATTGTTAATTTTTTTATTTCTTACAAATTTTACTCTGCACTTAATATTACAAATGTATCTTGACAGTTTACAATAATACATTTATGAATATACAATTATATTTATATTTATATATATATACCAATATGTATTATGTACACCATGCTTTAATTTATAAAATCTGTACCTTGTGAGTTGTCAGTTACTGAAATAAAGTATTTTTGAGAAAATTTAATTAATTTAACTTTTACAGGATTGAAACATGGCCTCAGAGTAAAGAAATAAAGCTGCAAGATTTGAATGGCTTTTTGAAAATTTTGGGAGAAAATGCCAGAATTTTTTAGACAAATGTTAAGGAAAGGCACCATGCTTTATAAAAATGGGCGAAAAGCATCCAGGATTTCAACTTTTCAAGCAACATTTGTAAGTAGCCCTAGCTCCATATTTTTAGAATGACATGTCTAATTCATAAAGGCACCCTGAAAAGCTTTAAATGATCAAGAATAAATAAGATACCCATGTCATAAAATTTCAAATTTGATTTGTCTTTTCTTTTTTGGTTTTTGTGTCATAGTCATGAATTTCTGTTACAGAAATAATAAAGAAAATTGTCGAATTTAACTATTTTTATATTTTATATTTTTATATAGAATATATATGGAAAATTATAGAAAATATCAAATCAAATTAAAATTTATTCAACTAATCATGAATATGAATAATGTCGCTCATTTTGGAAGATGAAATCTAGAGAGGTCTACGAGGTCGTAAAGTTTTACCAGTGATTTCACATAAATTAATCCTTGTTCCTAAAGTTTGAAGTGAGGTATGAGTTTATTTTCAAAATACTAAAATTATAATTTTATTCCCAATTGTAAATCTTCAAATTTTGTTATCTTCAATTGTCAACTTTTTTCATCATATTATACAATCATTGATTTTTATTCTTGATGTTTTGAGGTATTATTTTCATTTTCATTATTTTAGATTAGGTCTGTCTAGTGCCACAAACAGTGCATGGAGTCTTGCAGATTCTAACAAATAATTTTATCAATTTATTTATCAAAATACGTTAGATCTAGGATTCAGTATAAAGACCTCCTGACCCCCCCCCCCCTCCCTCCATCCCATTAAAAAATATTAAAATAATGACGTTCACAGCATGGTCTTAGGCAAAATATGTCCAAATTAAAATTATAATTTTAAGTTCACTGCTATTTAGAAAATTGCCAAAAGGATAAATCGCAAAAATAAAATCGAAAAGTGTTTTTTTTTACAATTTGCAAAATGAAGGTTCACAAAATCAGAGCTGAACATTTTTTTGAAATATTTAAGAATTTTACGGGACACATAAAAAAATTGTCAAAATCTTTTCTTAAAATACAACACTTTAAACAAGTGGACAAATGAAAGCGTTGGTAACATCTTTGCAAATTGACCTCCCCCCCCCCAACGTCGAGTATCTTAGGGGGTCATGGGCCGGGGGTGACTGTTTTGTCACAATACTCCTATTAAAATGCATTTTCTTGGTGAGAATGGACAAAATGAATTTATTCTTATAATCTTTCCATTTACAAACATTGCATGAAAATGTAGCTTGCATAGATTTATAATGATTTCAATTTATAATTACTTTTCCCGTTCATATATTTATTATCCTTGAATGGATCCTGTAAACCCGCAATATATCTAGATATATAAATATAAATAGACTCTAACAGCCTTACAGAAAAGATTTAGATGCTCTATCAGCAACCCTAAACCAATTACTGTAGTCTGAGATTGAGGACCCATTTTAAGAGTTTTGAATGAAATAGCGGGGTTTAGCTTAAACAAAATAACATTTAAACAACTTAAAAACTTCTCTCAAAAACAAATTCTTACGCGGTCAAGCCTTATTTGACATAAATAAGACATTTGTGGAATAAAATCATTTTGGCTGAACCCCCCCCACCCAATACCCCACTGTGCCTCTCTCAGCCTTTAAGGTGTTATTGAAAAAATATGTTGTTGGCTAAAAACATTTCAATCTTTGAAAAGAAAATATTGTGAAAATCATTCCTTCGACATGTATCATTGCATTTCCATGTTTCTGGGTCATGAATTTCCTAAAATTACAATTCTGTTTAAAGGAACAGAGCTGAAAACTTTAGAAGGAGATATCCTTAATCACGATCCCTTAATCTGAATAGCATGTACACACTTTTGGTTTTTCTTCTTAATCCTCTTCTTTGGATATTCCTACTTTATACAAGCTACGTTTGAATACAATTACAGATGCGATGCTATATCGGTTGGACTAATATCCGATTGAACTAAAGTCAGCTGTTCACAAGTCGGCTTTTAGAGCATTTTGACAAAAATAAATGTTATCATGTTAACATATTCTATCACATTTGTGGACCATAGCCATTTTGAACGTTAGTGTTAATAAAAATTAATGCAAAACTAATACGTTTGTTGATATGACACCATCAAAACCAGAATTGCGCAAAATTAAAAACCGGTTTTTCAAGTTAAAGAGCGCATCTCTGATCTCTAGAATTAGACTTCAGATTAACAAAAAGAGAGGATCAAGCATCAATCTCGATATCCACCATTCTAAAGTTTTCAGCTCTGAAAGCATAATTTTAAGTAATTCTCCATGCTGGGAGGGTAACGAGGGCAACGAATGACACCGGTAGAATTATATATAAATGTATTTGTTTCTCAATGGAGAAACTCATGGAAATAAAACACATTTCTAGGCAGTTAAACGATTATATCTTCCACAATCAGAGTTAGCCTTTAAGTACCATTGTACATTTTTGCATGGATTATCACTTTAAAGTACGCTTATAGACCCTTTCAAGTAGAAAAAAATGTGCTTTAAGAAGAATGTCTGTTGTTCACGCAAATAATTACTTTTAACTGAATTTAAAATACGCAGGAGTTGTCAATCATATCAGTACAATGAAGACGACATTTTAGTAACAATGATTTAGTTCATAACAAGTACTTTTAAAATTACAAGCTTACGCTGTTAATTGACAACTTAATTCTCTCTTTGTTTACATTATACGGTGTGTCTCTGTTGTTTGAATGAAATTGGTAGAGATAAAAAGAATTGTAATAGAGAAAGTGGTCTTTATTGTATTGATATTTACAACTTCGTAAATATTTTTCGTTTTCTGAACATTATGAAATTTCAAAATTAAATCGAAACTAGCGGAATAGATTTTCCGAGACAAGTAATGTTGTCATAACTCAAAGTTTTATCATAATAACAGAAAACTCCGGACTATAAAAAGGCACAGTTGATCAAATGATTCATTTTCTCGAGAAATTGATGTAAATTATTATGTTTTAATAATTTGTGCGTTGCAAAATATTTTTTTGTTGATTTCTTATTTTTTTTAAAATGAAAATTTAACCTTAGCTCCGGAAAGATTTAATTTTATAGACCGAGGGTTAAATTTTCCATTGATTTCAATTTTTCATTTATTTAACATTTACTTGCGTAAATTTATATATCAGCGGGATTCAATGTATCATTTATTCTAATTTGTCTGAAAGTAAATGACATTCCTTTTTAAAGAGGGGATTCAATGATAAACCCGAGGGCTTGCGGATTTTGCGGATTTTTTTTGCCTTTGTAGATTTTCAAAGTACCTTTCAATGAAAATATCCCGGCGGGATTAAGTCAAAATTGTTGCATACCAAAAAAACAGCTTTTTATAAAGGATTGAAAATTTCTCAATTTCAAAAACATCTTTTAATAAAGAAAAATAAAATTTTCAGAAAAAAAAGTGTGTTTCGAAATGTATTGAATCTATCAAATAAATAACACTAACCTGACAATTACCTCCACAAAAACAGTTGGTAATGGTATACTGGAAGGATTTGGGAAGATACAAAAAGTTTTGTGTTTTAGTGCTGTTCGTTTCATTATCTTTTACCTTACAAATAATAACATTTTTTAAATGTATCAAAGTCCTAAGTTATGAATAACTAGGTTGAAAACTCAGCTTTTTCTGGAGTTTTCCCTCTAAAAGCTTTGTTCTTCTCAATAGCTATTCAAACAGAGAAGTCATTAGATTGGAAACGTATACAAGGCTTAAATCGTATGTGAAATTTACATTAGTTTGACGTGCGACAGGAGAAATATCAAATTTAAATTAGTTTGACGTGCGACAGGAGAAATATCAAATAATACAACGGGAAAAATAAATTTCTATGGGAAAATTTTCCCCAACTTGTACACGCTAAAAATGAGAATAATTTTCCATTATTTTTTTTAAATTAAAATTGTATTTCTAAATTTAAAAATAGACATATGCCTCATTTGTAAAATTCTAAAAAGATAGATGCAATAAAAGTTCTTTATTTTAAGTCCGATAACTTAAAATCGTTTTTATCGACTGGAGACAATTGAAAGGGGTTGACTGACCCTTAAGCAGTGGTTGATGAAGAAAAAGCTTAATATTGGAGAATAAAAAGTAGGATAAGATACGAACCAAAATTTTCTCTTTAAGATGTATAATTTCTGAACACAAAACAAGAATTGATTGCAATTGTGACAGTCTGTGTCAGTGTTTATGCCACAAGAAAGTTTTTTTCCAAGACGAAAGTGTATTTTTTTTGTTTTTAATCCTCTTAAAATTGTACGTTAGCTGAGAGACACGCTATTGGTCAGAAACGGATCCTTTTTTAAAAATCTAAATACTATTAAACATAACTTTCCAAAGTGATTATGACAAAAACTGTTTGTGTAATCAGTAGAAAATACCTTCATCTCTAGAAGAGCAGCTTTAGAATCAGGTAACGTTTTCAGAGCTTCATGAAGCTCTTGCACCCCAGCACCAATCTAAACAAGAACTGTACAAATTCATAAAGCTTTGTGCCCCTTGCCATGGAGATTCAAGGTTACCTTCTCTCTTATTTTCTGTGTTTCTTCCTGTTCCCCAGACTAGTAAACAAGCAATTCTAGTTTTACTAAACATTGATTCTAGAAACGCAAATTAAGTCTCATTCAAAGGATATGAGCTACTGTATATCCCACATTTTTGCAGATAAAGAAAACCTCCATAAAATGTCATCTTCAAAATATTTGGTGATTCCTGCCGCTCCAAGTTATAAAAACAGTACAGGATTTATGCCGCTGCAAGTTATATAAACAGTACAGGATTCAGGCCGCTGCAAGTTATATAAACAGTACAGGATTCATGCCGCTGCAAGCTATATAAACAGTACAGGATTCATGCCGCTGCAAGTTATAAAAACAGTACAGGATTCATGCCGCTGCAAGTTATAAAAACAGTACAGGATTCATGCCGCTGCAAGCTATATAAACAGGATTCATGCCACTGCAAGTTATATAAACAGTACAGGATTCATGCCGCTGCAAGTTATATAAACAGTACAGGATTCATGCCGCTGCAAGTCATATAAACAGTACAGGATTCATGCCGCTGCAAGTTATATAAACAGTACAGGATTCATGCCGCTGCAAGTTATATAAACAGTACAGGATTCATGCCGCTGCAAGTTATATAAACAGTACAGGATTCATGCCACTGCAAGCTATATAAACAGTACAGGATTCATGCCACTGCAAGTTATATAAACAGTACAGGATTCATGCCGCTGCAAGCAATATAAACAGGATTCATGCCACTGCAAGCTATATAAACAGTACAGGATTCATGCCGCTGCAAGTTATATAAACAGTACAGGATTCATGCCGCTGCAAGTCATATAAAAAGTACAGGATTACCGAGGCTGTTTTGTATTTTTCTGCTCGCAGCATAAAATTTGTAAAAATGTGTAATTTACAAAAGATAATCGAAATATCTGTGCTGAATTGAAAGTTATAATTTTTTTCCCGGAATTAGATTTCCAAATATTTTGTTTAAAAATTAATGCTTTTTAATCAAAGACTGTTTTAAAAAAGCGGCAAATAAGCTTGGAAGCGACATTATATAATTTTTTCTTTCACTCCAAAAATTTAAATATACTGCAGTGATAACCATAACTCTTTGGAATAGGAAGTCGACTTTTAGACTCAAGTTATGACTTTAAATAGTGCAATGAATATGAGGTACAGCAAATGTGCAGTGTAAACAGACCCATTTCACTAAATAAGTGATTTAATAACTTACTAGTTATGCTATTTGCTTTGTAGAAACATCAAATGCACTTCAGTATTGCAATAATGTCGTCTTTCTATACTACAGTTTTCTAGTTATTACTGTAAAATTTTTTAAATATATTTTGATACAAATATTCTACTTCTTACGTATTCTGCATCATAATTGGAGTGGAATTTTCGATCACTGAATTTTTTAGGTAAGTCTAAATAAATAAAAAGCTAGACATTCAAAAAAAAATATTGTAGATATTTGAATTAAGTAAATTTTAATTTCACTCAATATCAATATTTGAGAGTTAAATTGATCCTTGAATAACTGATTAATTGATTTATTTTGTGATAGATGATTAATTGATTAATTAACTGATTTGTTGGTTTATTCATTGATATATTGATTAATTAAATAATGAATTGATTGATTGATTTACTCATTAATATATTGATTAGTTGATTGATTTATTGATTAATTAATTGTATTGATTGATTTATCAATTTATTTATTAATTGATTGATTGATTGATTGATTGATTGATTAATTGACTGATAAGTTAATTGATTGCTATTTTCCTGTTCAGACTGAACTCCAGCTTCTTCAATCTCTCAGCACACTTTTTAGAATACTTGTACACTGTAAAGTGCAGTACATAAACACTGTACAATGCAGTACGTGAACACAGTAAAGTTTGCTGTACGTGCATACTGTAAAGTTTAGTAAGTCTGCACGTGCACACTGTGCAGTGTATTTTTGAATATTTTGAACTTGAAAGAAAATTAAATTATATTGAATTTTTTTCGCCATGTTTATTAAATTCAAAATGAAATAAATGACTAAATTGTATTCTAAGTTCACCAACGGAAGTGCCTCCCCCTCCTAGTTCAAGATACTGCGGTTTTCCTTCTCCTAAATATTTCATATTAAATGGAATTCTATCAAAGGGAATATTTTTGTTTTTCCATATTTCAAAAAGTTTTGAATTTTGTCAATTTCATTTTTTTTTTCGTGGCATGAATCTAAGAGTCACTTGACTGATGAAACATTTTTTTGATTATCCAAAACACTGAGTGCTAGAATTGGGGCAAGTTATCTTTTTCAAGCGTCTATACATCTTACAATTCGAGCCAATTAAAACATAACTACAGAATACTTGTATTGAAAATAAATACTTTAAAATAAAATTAGTTTTTAATGATTTTTTATTTCATTTTCAGACATATCCCTTTTTTTGAAGCAGTTGCGCTATGGAACACATCCTGATTTCGAGACAATTACTTGAAATTAAAACAATGAAAATGTAAAATATTCAATAATGTGAAATGACACAAGTAACACATCAGCTGTGCTAAGTTCACATATTACGCAGTGTACACTGCGTTTTACAGGAATCAGGAGGTTTTTCAGAGATTTCTTGGTGAAAAGTCAACGGTTAGAAGAGTACTGTTAGTGTTGTAAATAGGGCATTTCCATCTTTACACGGAGGATCACTTGAAATTATGCTTAATGAGGAAGGATCCTACTTTAATTCTAATTTTACTACTTGTCACTGTATTTTAACTGTTTGATCCTTACTCTCAATTGCAGATAAATTTTGAGTCGAATAAATCCTAAATTTAATTGCGAGCTATGTATTCTTCCTTTTCTTTCCTTTTCTTTTCTTGTAATTATTATTACAGTATATAAATATAGAAATTACATATTTTACTTCTTGTAATTATTATTACAGTATATAAATATAGAAATTACATATTTTACTTCTGTTTTAGTGAAACCAATGAGGTTCGTGTAACTGAAATGGTTAAAGATCGTCTTTTTCGTTAGATCGTCTTTAATTTTAATGTTTTTTTTTAGTGTCTTTAATGAGTTTAATGAACATTAAACAAGTGAACATGAACATTGAACAAGTAAACATGAACATTGAACAAGTGAACAAAAACATTAACAAGTGAACACAAACATTACACATGTGAACATAAACATTGAATAAGTGAACATTAACATTGAACAAAAAACATAAACATTGAACAAGATAACATGGACATGAGCAAGTGAACATAAGCATTGAACAAGTGAACATAAACATTAATCAAGTGAACATAAACGTTGAACAAGTGAACATGAACATAAACAGGTTAACATGAAAATGAACAAGTAGACATGAACAGAAACAAGTAAACATGAACATGAACAAGTGAACATGAACATTAAAAAAGTGAACATGAACATGAACAAGTAAACATGAACATGAACAAGTGAATATAAACATTAAACAATTGAACATGACATGAACAAGTGAACATGAAAATGAACAAGTGAACAAAAACATGAACAAGTGAACATAAACATTGAACAAGTGAACATGAACATGAACAAGTGAATATGAACATGAACAAGAAAATAAAAAATAAAAAATAAACATGAACAATTAAACAAGAACATGAACAAGTGAACATGAACATGAATAAGTGAACAAGAACATGAACAAGTGAACAAGAACATGAATAAGTGAACATGAACATGAACAAGTGAACGTGAGCATGAACAAATGAACATGAGCATGATAAAGTGAACAAGAACATAAACAAGTCTTATAAATAATAGCCTGTTATATGAATAATAATATTAATAATCTGTCCAATAGATAATAATGTTAATAACCTGTCCTGTTAATAATAATAGTAATAATTTGTCGTATAAATAATAATAAATAAAAACCTGTCCTTGAAGAATTATAAATAATAATTAACCTGTCCTATGAATAATAATATATTAATAACCTGTCCTATAATTAATTATATTTATAACCTGTCCTTTGAATAAAAATATTAATAATCTGTCCTATAAATAATAATATTAATAATCTGTCCTATAAATAATAGAATTAATAACCTGTCCTATTAATGATATATATTAATTACCATCCTAGAAATAATAATTATAGCAATAATAACCTGTTTAATGGAGAATTATCAATAATAATCTGTCCCATGCTCTATATAATAAAGCTCTTCTCTCAAATATATGTATATGTCAGCTATAGCCAGCCAAACGGCTGGACCGAATGGGCTGACATATTTTTAGGGAACCTTTGAGTACCCCCGGGGAAACAAAGACTAAAATTTGGTTTTCCAAAAAAGTTTTTTTTCAAAATTAGAATTTATTCCACGTGAAACGCCGGGCACCTCAGCTCGTAAATAATAATATTAATAACCTGTCCTATGAATAGTAATAAATATACTTGCCCTATGAATAATAATAATTAATAATTAATAACCTGTCCTCTGGAGAATTATAATTAATAAAATTAACTGTAACATTGTTCAACTGAACACTATAGACTGTAATCTAACACTCCACTTTACACACCACACATTCCATTCTCTTGAAATTGACCTCAAACATGGTTAATATAAATATTTAAAATAGAAATGCTAAAACATCAAAGTTTCTTAAAGCTAACTTTAAATATTTTTAAAGATAATAATAAATGTCTAAAATAACATCTTTATTTGTATACATTTCATATTTTGTGTTGTCTGTCTGTGTTTGTTTGTAATCGGTAAATGTCTAAAAACGGTTGAACTGGTCAAGCCCAAGCAGGCACTGTAAACTATGCAGAAGGAGAGAGTAACATTTTTGCGAATTTCCTGGTTTTACAGAAAGACATTTTTCCGTTTACATATTAGAAATAATAAAAATATTTTGTTCTTAACAATAGATAGATTCAGATTTAATTAAAAACTTTAATATTTAAATTTCGCAATTTGCTTTATTTTTTCGTGCTCTGTGTTTTTGTATCCAATAAAAGTCCAAAAACGGCTAAACTGATCAACCGCAAAATCATATGTCCCAGAGACTAAACTAAATCAAGCACGAATTTAAAGCTTAAAGTTCTGAAAAATAATGATTCATGGTTAAATCAAACTTAATCCCAGACTCATTTATAGACCAATTTGGGTTGTATCAATACGCGAACTCAGTATTATTTCGCAGAGAATCATGATCAATTGATAGAAAATGAGACTCTAGGTTTTCCTGGGGTTACATATATTGTAGCTAACACTGATTAAAGTTAACGTCTAATTTAAGTCACGAGCGGTATTAAAGCTTAAATTTAACATTTAAGTCGTTAGGAATTTAAAACAATCACATACATTAATCAATTAACTTCGTTGCCGTTCTCCAATCCCCCCCCCCCCTCCAATTACTGAGTACATTGAACCATAGTATTATGGAAGTTTAATTCAAGAACCCCGGTAGAAAATTAATAAACCCCGGTAGAATTATTAGACGTGTTTAATAAGATTACGTTGCATTGCCCTGGACTGCGAATATTAAGATTAAAAAGAACGGTTTTTCTTCCAAGGACCTGGAACTCTATTCCATTAAAAATAAAATCTTTAGGCACCCCAACAACAAACAAGTTTTAAATAAGTCTTAAAAAAGATTTCTTGAAGAATATAGTAATTTTCGTTCTATAGATCTAAATTGCTTTTCTTGCTAAATCTTGATTCTATCCTCTTTCCCCTGTTATTATAACAAAACAAAACAAAACATAAACATTATAAACTTTTTGTGCTGGGTTGTCACCCTCCCCCCTTCGATCCTTTCTTCTACTTTTCCTCTCTATTCTTCAATACCTTTCCTCTTTCTACTACTTTTCCTTTCCTCCTTTTCCGTAATTTCTAAATTGCTTTTGTTTTATTTGGTTTTACTTAAATTGAACATGGATGTATCGCTGAAGAAGGGCCTCTCATTCAAAACAACCAACAATGGTTAGAGAGGCCCTGGCTAAATTAAAATGTAAAAATTGTGCAATTGAAACTGTTTTTAATTCCATTTGGTCTAAACATGGCGTCCATACAAATAAACAAAGTTGCAATATACGACTTGTATCCTAAAATAATCAATTTAATTTAGATATCACAACAGTCACCGATTATTTTTCGACACATTTGCATATAATTAATATTTCATAATATTTGTTATTTGTTTTACATACAGTGAAACCCTTAATAACGAATACATCAAAAGAATTCATCAAATGTCGTATTATTCACTTTCTGATACCGGAATGTTGCAGATATTTAGTTTTTTAATTAAATGATTATATGGAACTCTTAAAAACTGTTCCCGCATCATGGCTATTTATTTATTTTCGCAAATACTGAAATTTACGTAATATAGTATAAAACTCATTGAAAAATTGTCAAGACGACATTTGATAAATTCTTCCGATGTATTCTTTATTAAGGGTTTCACTGTACAATGCACTTAAAAGACTTTTTTCTGCTAAGTATTTCTGCAACGTGTAATCATTCAAAGTATCGAGAGCTGAGACATCTGGCGGCCAACTAATTCGGCGTTTTAAGTGCATACAAAACGAATATTATTTTTTTCGTTAACACAATTTAAAAAACAGATAAGAATTCAGCATTAGACATCCCCCAAAGCACGTGAACTACGCGGCAACTATCTAAAGAGAGAACAGGCTCTTCTGTGTTGGTAAACAATGGGCCCTGTGATATACATGAGGTATTGTAGTGTAATATTTTGTAAAAATAATAATACCTGTCAAGATAAAATCTTTTTTTTCGTTCCCGAAAAGTGTAGTATTGGCGAAATTTACAGGGAACCTTCCTCCAGGCCTAGATTCCAAAAAAATGGGTGTGATATGCTCGGACCATTTTTCTCCTGATGATCTTAATAGGGCTTGAAAAGACAAAAAGACTACAACCTGGCGCCATAGCATCCTCTAACCCCCAGTCATTAGCAGTTCAAGGTCATATGTGATTTATACTTTGTTTGAAAAATGTTCAACAAATGTGAACTTTTTTTATTTTGACGAGACGAGAAATAATGTGGAATTAACATTTACTTTTTACACTCTACAGAGGTTTGGTCCATCACCATCACCGAATTTTAAATTAGATGTTATATTCAGTTCTTTTTTGTAAGTCAAAGACTATTTTAAAAGCTTAATTTGTACATTTTGAAAAATCCTTTAAAAATTATATAGATTTGTGTGACTGTACAGTGTTGTAGAGCTAAAGGCATCTATGAAAGCTCAAATATTGGCGATTTCCCAGGGGGGTTTGATCTAGGGTTTCCAGTCGTAATTGTACGTTACGCGTTATTACGCGCAATTACGCGTAACACTTTCTTTCACTTACGCAGGAGCATTACGCGTAATTACGCGTTTATTACGTTTACGAAAGAAAGTCTAGTTTCGCGTAATTAAATGTTTTATTTAAATTAAAAGTTAAAACTTCAAAATTTCATAGACGTAATTATTGCAAAATTTCGCAAAATTACTTTGTAGAAATTACGCGAAATCGAAGTTTCGCTAATTACGCGTATAATTAATACAAAATTTCGCGAAATTACCTTGTAGAAATTACGCGAAATTAGGCCGTAATTACGCGTAATTATAGTTTTGCTTATTACGCGTAATCATTACGAAATTTCGCGAAATTATGTTGTAGAAATTAAGCAAAATTACGCCGTAATTACGCGTAATTATAGTTTCGCTTCTTACGCGTAATCATTACAAAATTTCGCGAAATTACGTTGTAGTAATTTCGCGAAATGGATATTTCCTCAATTACGCGTAATCCTGCGAAATTACACGAAATGAAAATTATTACGCGTAACTGCACGTAATTACGCGTAAGAGAATAATCTATCACGTTGGAAACCCTAGTTTGATCCCTGGGCGTCTAAGAATTTCAAGAGGATTTCTTGGGGAGGTTGGAGCCTACGCTATCGTTCAGGGGCGTCTTTAGGCTCATCAAAATTTCATTTCACCACGCTCTCTAGTTGGCCAAGATTTTTTTCATTTAAGGATAAAGAATTCCGTTAAGAGTGTTTCAGTCTCCCCGAAAGTAAAATCTGCAAGAAAATATCGCAAAAGTAAGAGGAAAAAATCAAATGACTAAAAATTAAAACATATTTCTGTTAACAATTCTTAACCCCCCCCCCCTTAAAAAAACTAAATTTTACCCCTTGAATTATGTAAAGAACTATGGAGAGATTTATTTTAAATTGATCTATCTTTTTAGATCGCAATTAAGCACTCATGATCTCAAATATGCAGCTCTTTATATTGCGGGAAAAAAATATAAAAGATCTATATCCGTGCTGCAATTTTAACACATTTTAAATCGGTACGCTTATCAAAAGCTTTCTTGTCACTAATTGCCAAGGAAAATTGTTCCTAATAGGTGATCAACTTAATATAAGTGACGAATTTATGTTTGATCAATTGAGTCTTTTGACAAATGTCGTCATTGATGTGAAGCAAGAAATTTGCTTAACCCTATCCCTGCTGGGGTACTTGAAAACCAGGATACGCTGGGGGGGGTCAATTTGACCCCCCCCCCTCTAAATCACATGTTTTATGTCCAAATATGACAAATGATACATCATTAGAAAGCTCTTGTGCTCTACTTTTAGAATCTGCAAAAAAAATTGCAAATTTGCGAAAATTGAATTTTTTATCGCAAAATCCAGTTTTATAGTAAAAACGTTTGCAAAAAAAAATTTGTCCAAAAAATTTCAAATATGCAAAAATTTTTGCAAATTTTAAATAACCTGATTTTTAATCAAGAAAAACTAAAAATGTGCAAATTTCCTTTGACAGGTTGTTTGCAAAAAATTTGCAATTTTTTTTCGCAAAACTTGTGCAATCCGTTTCCTTATGTCATAGGCTTTCCAAAAAGCTAAATTTTATCAAAATCTGACAAGTGAAAGTGGGTCAAAAGAAAGATTTAGTTTGTTACAGGCAAAAGCAGTCATTCAGGCAGTGTGCCTGAGGACTCAGGCAGTTAGTATTAAAGCCCGGTTTTAGGCCTAAAGGGAGGGCTTTGGGTATGTAAGAAAAGTCAGAAAATTTCAACAGCCTCAGACCAATACTTTTTGAGTTATGTAAAAAAAACTACAGGGGGGGGGTCAAATTGACCCCCCCCCCAGCAGGAATAGGGTTAAGTCTAAAAATGTTGTCATTGCTGTACAACTTTTATAGAAAAAGTAATATACTGAAATTCCCATTCAATTTTAAAACCGTAAGGTCATTCATTATGTTCCGTGCAAACCCGATACTAATTCGAGTACAGCACATTAAATATGTAAAACTAAACTCCGTGTGATATACACAATATTGTCAACCATTAACTTTGATCCGTGTAAAGTTTTCTTTAACTTAGATCCCCTCTCGGAGACACCAAAACCAAACCAAATAATTTTAACCTCCGGTTTCTTTGTTCTCCCTATCGGAGTGTAAATAACCTAAAGCATTGTGAATCCATCCATTTTCAAACGTTAAACAAAGAATATTTTCACATAAAGAATTAGTGACCTTCGTTAATAATTAATTGTCATTCTTTTCAGAAGTTTAAAAACGTCTTAG